TCTGTGATTTTCTGCCCACATCTTTTTTTCTACTTATAGAATGTTATGCTGGTCCATTTTCCATTGTTAGCAATGATGAATTTCTTTGAAGAAATCAAGAAAACTCTTTGGAGAAAGACCCAAGAAATTATCCTTAACCTAATAGAAACTGCGGCGGAGTGCGTGCGTGTGTGCGTGCGTGCGTGCGTGCGTGCGTGCGTGCGTGCCTGTGAGGGTGTGATACTTTAACTAGGGGAAGGTTTTCATTGAAAATTGCTGTATGTGATTCAGAACAATCATGACAGCAGCTCTGCCCTTAATCCTGTTAGGACAAAAGACTTCATCGAATCAGACATCTCGTCCCTGCCCCCCGCCCTTGTAACTTGTCCGTTAGCTTGGTTGTTTGGGGCCGACCTCAGGAGTGTGGAAATGACAGACTTGTACCACCCTGCCCAGTTCAGTGGCCTGACAGGTGACTGCTAAAAAGCAGTTTGTTAAAAAGATTCATTTTATTTTTAATTGTGCATTTGTACATTTTAATTGTGCATTTGTACGTGTGTGTGTGTGCGTGCATCTGTGTGTGTGTGTGTGTGTGTGTGTGTGTGTGTGTGTGTGTTTGTGCATCTGTCTGTGTGCATGTTTGTGCATCTGTCTGTGGCCAGAGGCTTCAAATCCCCAGGAGCTGGAGTTAACAGGTAGTTTCAAGCGTCCTGGTGTGGGTGGTGGGTGCAAGAAAACAAGACGAAATCCCCCATATCAAGGCTGGACAAGACAACCCAGTAGGAGGAAAAGGGTCCCAAGAACAGGCAAAGAAGTCAGAAGAACACCTGTTCCCACTGTTAGGAGTCTGTCCCCCAAACCCACCAAGCTAACAGCCACACGTATGCCGAGGACCTGGTGCAGACGCAGCAGATCCTAGCTTGCCACTCGAGTCTCTGTGAGCCCCCGGGAGCCCTGCTTAGTTGATCGCACAAAGCTGTGATCTCCCAGTGTCCTCCACCCCTCTGGCTCTCACAGTTCTTCTCTCCCTCTTCCGTGGGGTTCCTTAAGCTCCAGTGGGAGGGACATGGTAGAGACCTCCAACCCGGGCTCTCGCCCATCTAATTTTTGGCTATTGGACTCTGTATCCGATTCCATCAGCTGCCAGAGGAACCTCTCTGATGACAACTAGGTTAGGTATCGATCTATCAATATAGCAGAATAGCATTAGGATTTTATTTTTTATTTATTGATTTTTTTTTTTTTTTTATTTTGTCAGTTGTGTTTAGTTTTACCCTAAGTCTCTGGAGTATCCAGCCTCTGATTTCTGCTCATCCAGGCAGTGTTGGGCATGGGCTTCCTCTTGTGGAGTGGGCCTCAATTTAGACCAGTCATTGGTCGGCCACTCCCACAAGTTCTGCACCTCCATTACCCCAGCACATCTTGTAGGCAGGATGGACTGTAGGTCGAAGGTTTTGTGGTGAGTTGGTGTTTCAGTCCCACCACTGGAAGCCTTACCTGGTTACAGAAGATGGCCCCTTCAGGCTCCAGATCCTCCATTGCTAGGAATCCTCTATAGGACCACCCTGTAGATTCCAGGGAGTTTCCACATGGCCCCCAAATGCCCTCCAATTAGTCACCTCTCCTTGTACTCTCTCCCTCCATTCCCCGTCCCCCTCACCTGATCCCTCTATTCCCCTCGCTGCCCACACCCAGTCCACCTGCAAAATCCAATTCCCTTTTCCAGGAAGATCTTTGCATCCCCTGTGGTCCCTTGTTCCTCGGCCTCTGGATCGTAGGTTGTAAGGTAATTATCACTTACAGCTGACACTCACTTGCGAGTGGGTACTCGCCATGCTTGCCTTTCTGAGTCTAGTTCTAGCCCTTGTCCTGCAGTTTTGTGATGTCATTTTGTTTTTAACTGTTTCTCTATCCATTCTTCAGTTGAGGGACATCTAGGTTGTCTCCAGTTTCTCGCTGTTGTGACTAGAGCAGCGGTGAACACGGTTGAGCAAGTGTCCTGTGGTAGGATGGAGTGTCCTGTGGATACATGCCCAGGAGTGGTAGAGCTGGGTCTTAAGGTAGATCGATACCAGATTTTCTGAGGAACCACCATATTGATTGCCATAGTGGCTGTACAAGTTTGCGCTGCCACCAGCAATGAGTGTTTCCTTTGTACCACATCCTGGATAGCATGAACTGTCACTTACGTTGTTGATGTTAGCCATTCTGACAGGTGTAAGATGGAACCTCAAAGTAGTTTTGATTTGCATTTCCACGATGGCTAAGGATGTTGAACATTTCTTTAAGTGTTTCTCAGCCATTTGAGATTCCAATGTTGAGACTTCTGTTTATTTTTTAATTGGATTATGTGGTTTGTTGATGTTATATGTTTTGGATATTAGTCCTCTGTCGGAAGTGGAGTTGGCAAAAATCTTTTGCCATGCTGTAGGCTGCCGTTTCGTCCCTATTGACAGTCTCCTTTGCCCTACAGAAGCTTCTCACTTTCATGAGGTCCCGGTTGTTAATTGTTGATCTCAGTGCCTGTGCTATCCATGTTCTGTTAGGAAGTGGTCTCCTGTGCCATGTGCTCAAGATTATTTCCCACTTTCTCTTCTATCAGGTTCAGTGTGTCTGGATTTATGTTGAGGTCTTTGATTCATTTGGGGTTGAGTTTTGTGCATGGTGATAGATATGGATTTGCATTCTTTTACATGCTGACATCCAGTTAGACCAGCACCATTTGTTGAAGATGCTTTCTTTTTCCATTGTGTATTTCTGGCTTCTTTATAAAAAATCAGGTGTTAATAGGTGTATGGATTAATGTCTGGGTCTTCTATTTGACTCCATTGATGAATGTGTCTGTTTTTAATGCCAGTATCATGCAGCTTTTATTACTATAGCTGTGTGGTACAACTTGAAATCAGGGATGGGGAATGATATCTTCAGGTATCTTTTTTTTTTTGGTTCTTTTCTTGGTCAGGATTGTTTTAGCTATCCTGGGTTTTTTGTTTTCCATACAAAGTTGAATATTGTCCTTTCAAGATCTGTAAAGAATTGTGCTGGAATTTTGATGGGGATTGCTTTGAGTCTGAGTCTGTAGATTGCTTTTGGTAGGATGGCCATTTTTACTAAATTAATCCTACTGTTCCTGGAGCATGGAAGATCTTTCCATCTCCTGGTATCTTCTTCAATTTCTTTCTTCAGTGACTTGAAGTTTTTTTTTTATCATACAAGTCTTTCACTTGCTTGGTTGGAGTTACCTCAAGATATTTTATATTATTTGTGGCTATTGTGAAGGGTGTTGTTCCCCTGATTTCTTTCTCAGCCTGTTTGTCATTTGTGTGTAGGAGGGCTACTGAGTTTTGTGAGTTAATCTGTATCCAGCCACTTTCACTGAAGGTGTGTATCAGCTGTAGGAGTTCCCTGGTAGAATTTTTGGGATCACTTATGTATACTGTCATATCATCTGCAGATAATGATACATTGACCTCTTCCTTTCCAATTTGTATCCCCATTGATCTCCTTCAGTTGTTTTATTGTTCTCGTTAGAAGTTCAAGCACTATATTGAATAGATAGGGAGAGAGTAGACACCCTTGTCTTGTTCCTGATTTTACTGGAATTTCTTTGAGTTTCTCTCCATTTAATTGATGCTGGCAATCAGCTTGCTTTATATTGCGTTTATTATGTTTAGGTGTGTCCTTGTATCCCTGATGTCTCCAAAACCTTTATCATGAAGGGGAGTTGGACTTTGTTGAAGGCTTCTTCAGCATCTAAAGATGATCATGTGGCTTTTTTCATTCAGTTTGTTTATATGGTGGGTCACACTGACAGATTTTCTAATGCTGAACCTTCCCTGCATCTCTGGGATGAAGCCTATTTAGTCATGGTGGATGATCTTTCTAATGTATTCTTGGATTCGGTTTGTGGGTTGGTTTTTTTTTTTGTTTGTTTTGTTTTGTTTTTGTTTCGTTTTTTTGAGACAGGGTTTCCCTGTGTAGCCCTAGCTGTCCTGAAATTCACTCTGTAGACCAAATTGGTCTACAGAGATCTGCCTGCTTTACCTCCCAAATGCTGGGATTAAAGGTGTATGCCACCAATGTCCAGCTTTGGGGGTGGGAAGTTGTGATTATTTTATTGAGTATTTTTACATCTATGTTCATGAAAGAAATTGGTTTGTAGTTCATTTTCTTTGTTAAATCTTTGTGTAGTTTGGGAATCAGGGTGACTGTGGCCTCATAAAATGAATTGGGCAATGTTCCTTCTGTTTCTATTTTGTGGAATAATTTGAGGAGTATTGGTATTAGCTTCTCTTTGAAAGTCTAGTAGAGCTGGGTGGTGGCCTATGCCTTTAATCCCAGCACTCGGGAGGCAGAGGCAGGTGGAGGATCTCTGAGTTCAAGGCCAGCCTGGTCTACAGAGGGAGTTCCAGTACAGGCTCCAAAGCTACACAGAGAAACCCTGTCTGGAAAATTCTGGTCTCTTATGGAGCAGGGGGTCTCCACCTGAGTTGGGGGCTGGAGTTCTGGTGGTCTGCATGGCCTTTGATCCAGGAGGGGAGTCACTCTTTCCTTGTGTTGGGGGCTGGGACAAGGCCATGGGGAGAAGGAGGGGTGTGTTGGGGATAGTGTCAGGGTTTGGGGGCACTGAGACGGGGGGAGGTCCGCTGGCAGGCTGCCTATCTGGAGTTCTGACAGCTATAGTAATGGCTTCTTTCTGGTCCTTAGAATTTCTTTAAAATCATATTTACTGTGTGTGTGTGTATGGCATCTAAGCGGAAGCGTGAGGACAACTTGTGGTACTTGGTTCTCTTCTCCTCATGTTCATCCTGGCTTTCAAAGTCGGTCACCAGGCTTGGTGGCAGCACCTTTACCTGCCGGGCCACCTCAGCCCACTGCCATTGTATCATCATTTTTCAGAAGTCATCAACTATAACCGCAAATTTGTATCAAATATTTTAATAGAAAAACTTTAAAACTGTCTGTAAAAACCTGTACTTTCTGAACATGGGATTCACAGTGGATTCTTCTCTCCTTTTCAGGACTATCCTGTTAAGTGTAATCTCACTGCTTAATGAGCCCAACACCTTTTCTCCAGCCAACGTGGACGCCTCAGTCATGTTCAGGAAATGGAGAGACAGTAAAGGAAAAGACAAGGAGTACGCTGAGATCATTAGGTGAGTCAGACCATGTGACTTTAGGACAGGCTCCCGATCTATGGAGTAGGAGCCTACTGAACTGAGCTATTGAAAGAGAACCCAGAACAGAAACCACAAAAAAATAAACTCACTGGAGAGCAGTATAAACTGTAGTGGTTTTGTTTGTCCTGGGGGGAAGGCATTTAAACCAGGCTAGCCTTGAACACAGAGATCCAGCCTCTGCCTCCCCAGTCCATCACTGCGCCCTGCTTGTTTTTAGTGGTCAGCCACTGTGGGAGATTATTTGTATCAAGAATTGTAAATGGTAAAGACCTAGAGAAGCTACAGGAACATCCATGTGCAAAGTCTGGCAGCTAAAGCTTCAGGAAGTGGTGTTCTTACGTTTTCCGTTTCTCCAGTCCCCTCTCCCCAGCTTGATGACTTTGGTTTGTACTTTGGGAAAGAGACTATTCTACACTTAGTCGACACTCGATGCATGCCTGTTATCTGCCAAGCCATCACTAGATAATGGAAAAGACTGAGGGAGACAGGGCACCTGCTCTTATGAAAGTCACACTCTGATAGGAGCCAGGCAGTCAAGAAAGGTGGAAATGCCCAGTAGGTATAAGTAGGATTATGTGAAGGTGTGACTCCCTGGATTCGATCCCCAGCACTCCAAAACAATGAGACTTAGTGATATGGGGGAACCTTAGAAGCCAAGGGGGAAAAGTCCAGAGTGACCGGCTTCGTGCATTCAAGGCATTAACAATGTGCTGGGCCTCTAGCTCAGTGGCAGCATGTTTGCTGCGTGTCCTGGGTTTGATTCCTAGCACCCCCCTGTAAGCTTGACCCTAATTCAGAACCCACAGAAAAGGCCAGCAGTGGATGTGTAATCCCTGATCCCTGAGCAGGAGATGGGAGGCAAAGACAGAATTTCCAAACGCTGTGGGTAGTTAACCTGAGCCATGCAGCAGTCAGCAGGAGGTTTTTGTCTCGAGCAAGGCTGAAGTGTTAAACTAGGACCCTCAGGACGGCACCTGAGAGCTGAGAGCCTTTATGTGGTGCAGGCATCTGTTCTCTGTCTGGAGTTTGGAGGGTGAGTCTGTCTTCAAGACTGAGGCCGAAGCCAAGTACGATGGCTTTTGCTCATAATCCCAGCCTAAGAAGGTTTAAGGACAAGAGGCCAGTTGAAGGCTAGTGTGGGTTAGTGAAGCCCTCTCAAAACAAAACCAAAGTAGACTTCCACAAACCATTTTGTGTTGTCCTCTGTTCAGGAAACAGGTCTCGGCCACTAAGGCTGAAGCAGAAAAGGATGGAGTGAAGGTCCCCACAACCCTGGCAGAGTACTGCATCAAAACTAAAGTGCCTTCCAATGACAACAGCTCAGATTTGCTCTATGACGACTTGTATGACGACGACATTGATGATGAAGACGAGGAGGAAGAAGATGCCGACTGTTATGATGATGATGATTCTGGGAATGAGGAGTCGTGACATGTTCCTTCAGTGCCCCTGTACTGCCCTGACGTCTCAGGCCAAAGGGAGGGGAGCAAGTGGGGATCTATGGTGGCCCCTCAGCAAAAACTTACTCATGGGGTGGGGAAACACACAGCTCCTGCTGACTCCCCTGCGGATCTCAGTTTGCTCCTTTTTATGGACCTTACTGGAGAGGAAGTACCCTCCACGGAATGTCTGAATTCTTGCGTTCTTGACGCTCTCATCACTGTATTGATTCTTTTTTAAAAAACAAAAACAGCCACCACCCTTCAAACTCCCACCTCACTTCATCTCTGCAGAATGTTCACAGCAAAACACGTTCGTCTGTTTTTAGATTCTCGAAGATTAGTCTGTTTAAGACATTAATGTGTTTAAAGCTGGGAACCCACTGGGAGTCCACAAGTGCTGCATATATTGGGTAGCAAAAGAAAATGGGGGAAAAAAAACACAAAACCAAAAAAAACAAAAAACAAACAAAAAAAAAACCAAAAAAACCCACAAAACAAACTTTAAAAAAAAAAAAAAAAGCCAATTTGCCAAGGTTTAGCTGCTCCTTTCCATTAGTGCGTGTGCATTTGTTCAGCCCCGTGGTGGTGAATTTTGTTTCTTTCCCTTCCTAAGGCTGGGATGCGGTGGGCATCAGGGACTTACTCTTGCTAAGCCTGATGAAATGTGCTGCTTCTGCCTCTGTGACATCGTCCCAACATGGAGGCTACAGCTACTCTGAGGAGAGAAATCAGATTTTGTTTTTTGGAATCGATTGGGATCTAAAGCCTGAAATAAATATTCATACTTTACATAGAACTGAGCACTTGGTTGCTATTTATTTTAAAGGTAGGGTAACTTTTTCTACCAATGAGTGGGGCAAGTAGGGGGGAAGTGGAGGTTAGTGTGTGTGGATTTTTAGGGGTGAAAACAAAGAACTAAAAATTATAAAATTACACCAGTTTGGTTGCCGCCGCCGCGGGGAAAAGTGAAAAGTGCTAGTGGCCACTGTCGGAGAGCCAGCATCGCAGACACTCTCACACCAAGTTTTGTTTGTTCATTGAAGTAGCCACTTTGAATTATTCAGTATTAATCCTAGGTGCATGTGTTAAGATTTTGGTTTTCATTGAGCTGCTTATACTGGTAGTGATCAGTGTGGCTGTGTGCCACTTGGATGTGATCTGGAGGTTTTTTTCCTCTCAGTGTGCTTTGGCCATGGCGCTTCCCTGGGCCTCTGTTGGGCGGGGCCCCAGTGACTGCAGGCATTTCCAGTAGGTAGCTGTTGCAACTGTTTCCCAGATTTGAGCCAAGATTGAGCTCCAGCCTTCACCAGCCAGGGACTTCACGTTTGAAATGAGATTTCTGTTCCTGGTGTATCAAACTGCTATGATGTGAAGCCAGTTTTCAGAAGGATAGGATTGTTAAGATCCTCAAGCCAGTGTCAGTTCTTACCTTCAGATCACAGCTCAGAAAGAAACCAAAGGGCAGACAGGAACTGGGGAGGAGGGAGGACGGATCCTCCACTGTCCAGTAGGCAGCCCTGCCTTCCGTGCTTCCTCCTCCTTTCTGATCTCAGGGTTTTCAGTCACTCTTCAAACGCTCCTGAATGAATGCTATTTCCCAGCAGTTCTCTGGCCTCTAAAGTTTGGTCTGTTATTAAATGAGAATGTTGAGTCTGGTCCTGAAATAACTCATATTAATCTCCATGGGCCCAGGGCTGTACGTGCATCTAGTGACTCAGGAACACAGCTGCTGTGCTGTGTGGACCAGAGGAAGGAGGAAAAACTCCTAGAGGCACCAGCTTGGTGTCCCCTCAATGCTCCATTGCCTGCAAACCTGGAGCCAGATCCTGTCATAGCGCCCATCTTCCTCCCCCTGCGTCCACCCCCAAAGTTTACAGCTAGTAGTTTGATCTTATTCTCTTGGCACCCTAAACATAAGCCTTTCATGCTGAAGGATCTCACACCTGGACATGCTAGACACCTTGGCATTGTGGGAGGTGCCCTGCTGGCCTGTGTCGCAGGTTGACTCAGGGAGCCAGAGAGGCAAGTTGAGGTGGGCCTCGTAGCCTGTTGACATTGCTGTTGAAGGCCAGGTTTGAAATCGACGCTGTGCAGGCAGTTCCAAAGGCCATGTTGACTGGCAACAGTTGGTGGTCACAGACTTTGAGAACATGCCCTGTGGAAAACCACTTGAGTGCTTTTTCTCTTGAGAGTAGATGGAGGTCTCGGCTGCAGGTAGAACCTTCTGAGTACAGTTGGAAAGAACAAGGTTTTAGTCTACCCCCGCCTCACCGAGTGCTCTTTACTTCATGTATCCTCAGGCTGAGTGGACAAAGTGTGTAGTATCATGATGCTGTTGTCGCTTCTCAAAGTCTCCCCACGTCTCTCATCATTCCAGAATTCTCTTAGCCACACTATCTACTTGTGTAGTCTCCTCTTGGCCCTCTCCTGGCCATTATTTGCTGGTTCCCTTATGTTTGATCCTGTCCATTGGAAGGGAAGTGCACAGCTCTCTTGGAAAAGTAAGTACCCTCCCTCCCGCCCTGATACACAAGGTTTACATTTACAACTAAAAAGATGCAGATGCAATTCAACTGAAACCAGCGGACACACCTGACTTTAATAGTTTTCTTAGCTAAAATTGTAGATGGATTTTCAGTTTAACTTATGAGAAAAGTTTATCCGATGCATTTTGTGTTGACTCCCCCTTAGTGATTGATTTTGTCTTTTTATGCCCATCTGTCTACTAATAAAAATGTGAAATAAAATATACCTGTATTGCTACTTCCCCATGGGTCATCGCCCTTCCCCCCATGTTAAAAAAATACACCTCACTGTCACCCTGACAGGTCTCTGCCAAATAGTTAGAACTTGGGCTCCACTAACTACCTTCAGTCAATAAGCTCTTTTGAGATTCTTCAAGTCAAGGCCTTTGTTGAACTGGCCTGAAGGGTGTTGCCATCCTCCCTGGGCAAACACTGTGTGTTCATTGTTGGAATAGAACGAAGCGAGGGACCGAGTCAGGCAGCAGCATGCTCAGTCCCTCGTTCAGGAGGCCGAGGGACAAGGGCTGTCACAGGAGACACAACATGAGCAGGCCAGGAGCCTAAGCTATGGGCGACAGCTAACAGGTGTCTGATGGCTGACCACTGCTCCTGGCTGTAATGATGTCTGTCACTGTGGCCCCCAAATCCTCCAGACTTCAAAGATGGTCCCATTTAAGTAGACATGGCCCACTTCAAACTCACTAATCCCCCTGACGCTGCCTAGGTCCTGGGATTACAGGGGCATGCCCGCTACCCAGCCTACCTCAGGCGTTTCACTTAGCCTAGTCTGAAATAGAGCTATGACACTTCAGGATACTGAGCATCGTCTGTCCCGAATCCCTGACTCAACAGTTGCCTATCTCACAGTGAAAGCACAGGACAGGCACACACAGCTCTGGGACCTTGAGCCCTGGCACGTGGCTTCCTTCCAGGTCACTTGGGATTTGGACAGCACTACCCTGAAACTCCTGCTCTCTGGACCATACAAAAGATGGCCGCGGGTCCCAGGTCTTACTAAGGTGGCCAGAAAAGGCACATTAGCTTTCATGAGTACAGCCTGAAGAAGCAGCGCAGAAGGAGACAGCAATTCAAGTGGCCATCCCTGGGAGGTCCAGTGACTCTCCCAAACCATCTTTAGTCACAGAATGCAGAGACCCAGCATGCTCTCAGAACTTTATTAGGTGGAGTTTGGGTGAGAGAAAACCCTGAAACAGTTGCCTGCCTGGTTCAGGACAACTGGTATAGATAGAGGAGCCTTTGTTTGGAGACAGGCTTTCACTGAGATAGAAGCAGATCTTGGATTTCTTTACACGGGAGCTGACTGGCTGAACATCTCTGAGACCCAGTTGGGATTCTTTTTTAGATGGTTGGTCAAAGGCAAGCCCCTGGGGCAGCAGACCAGAAGCAGGCGGCCTTGCTGCTCAGGCAGACAGGTGTATGCTGGATAGGGTCATCTCTGCTCTTCCCAGATTCAGATTTGTTGGAGGGGGGCCATGACAAATGACAAGAGGATCAGTTGCTCAAAACCAAGTATGAAGCATTACAGAGGAGAGAAACACAATGGTTCACAGGGAATGAGATAAAGAAGAGTCGTGATTCTTCATTGGTACCTGACCCCAATCCCTACCACCAGTCCTTCAATGGCACACAAGCAGCCCGCTGAGCTGGGAGCCACGTGCAAGGCCTGAAGGCAGAGGGGCGGGGGTGGGGCTTGCTTCCTTGGCTACATCGAGGGTGTCCAGATGGGGAGAGCACACTTTTATGCTACCTGGTAGACACACCCCAGCTCCTCCAGGCTTCTATCACATTTACAAATACATACATAAATACATTACATACAATAGTGGGTCTGGGAGGCAGGCTTCCCACAGAGGCTCAGCTGACAGTTACGTCTCAGAATTCTAGGAAAGGGCACCGGGTTCCCAGAAATGTGCTCCATGTGTGCTCTCCTGCCCAAGAGCCCACCCTCTTTTTCTCAGGGTCTAGTTTGTCCAGTACGGAGAGTTGCCATAGGTGGGTTTGGAGGCTTGAGACTTGGGCTGCAGGGAGCTGGGCTGGCTGCGCTGACCAGAGCCACTCTGAGGAGGAAGAGGAGAAAGGGCTATAAAGGCCGGCACAGAACCCCAGGCCCATGGCAAGGAGGCTGCCTCCATCGCTGTGCTCACCGGGGGGGTGTCCTGCGGGAGGTGGTGGTGCAGCAGCTGGGAGTGAGGCTGCTGGTGGGCCGGCATGATGTGCAGGAAGGGTGCAGGTGCATAGCCGGGGGCCGCGCCAGGGGCCAGGGGCCCAGTGGAGCCCAGGGCAGAGGGCAGGCTGAAAGGCGGGGGTGTCCCTGCGTGAAATCCCTGCTTGTCAAACGTCTGCGGGACAGAGGTGACAATGAGAAGGGCAGAGTGAACTAGACCCCCCTCCACCTGCCCACCCCTGTACACCCCCCTCCTCACCTGTGTCTTGTTGTAGACAGAACCAGTCATATCCGGGAGGCCAGTGGTGCCTGAAGACACTGATACTCCTAAGGGCAAAAACAGTTGTTCCCCTGGCATTCAGGCCAGTTTCAGAGACCCCGGGTAGCCCTGCCTCAGCCAGACAGGGGACAGTCACTCCAGGTTCTAGTCCTGGAGAGGGGCTGATACTACCTTTACCAGGCCCGGATCCAGCCGACTTGTTGGGTGCCTGTGATGATCCCCCATAGCCGCCCTTGGTGTAGTCTCCTGCTGCCGTCCCCTGGGTCAAATCGTCATAACCTGCATGGCAGGACACAAGAGACATGTGTGGGCCAAGCAAGCCTGGCCTACCCTGGGCCTCTCAGTGCAGGGCCCGCCTTTACCTGTGCTGTAAGTATGCTGCCCATAGCCACTGGCCTGCTGAAACGGGGTAGGGGGAGTGCTGAGGGTCACGCCATGCTGCTTCGCCGAGGTTGGCGGGACCTAGTGGGACGAGCAGGTGAGGTTGGAGTGTAAGAATAAGACAAAGAGGAGATCAGGCAGTCTGGGCCAGAGCCTACAGCAAAACCAAGTCATAACCAAGAGGCCCAGGATTTTCCTAAGTGGAATCCATGATGGACCTAAAGGCAGCTGGAAAACATGGCCAGGGTTTCAAGCTTGGAGGAGCCCACAGCCCTGGGAACCATCTGCAGAAATACTCACAAACATAGTGGGCCCATACTGGAAGGCACTGGGCACGCCTGTGTAGTAGGGGAGGCCGGTATAGCTGTAGCCAGGTGGCAGAGCAGGATTCAGAAAGGGCTGCTGTGCTGTGTGGTGGGTCTGAGACTG